CCTTCTCTCTGTATGTCTATTACATTGTGTAACTCCAGCACATGCTGGTCATCAGCAGGCAGAATTGAACCTGTGTCCTTTGGAGCATAGTACATGAGCCTCTACCACCCTGGTGTCTAACCAGTTCTGTGCTATAGTGAACTAGCCACACTCAACTGGCTAAATAGTTGCATGTGGCTAGTGTGTTGGATTCCACGGCTCTGCCACATGTGTCTACTACCAGAGGCTGGAGAGCAGACTGCTTATTCTGTCTCTGTAAATGGTTTCAGTGCCACTATATGGGACAGTACACCACACCCAGGAGGTGTGTGGGTTACAATTGCAGACTCTTATTAGATGATCACATGCTGTTTCCTAAATAATACATTGTCACGTTTATTTGTGTGCTTTTCCTCCATTGTGGATATATGCATGTAGCATCTTGTGGGGCTTACCACTCTGTTCTTGTGTTTTGGCCTTGCCTAATATTTCTTAAATATATTTTCAATGCTGACAACACACCAGTATTGCTAGGCATCTCTTGCCGTCATTTTAAGCACACTGTCCATGAGACTGCTATAATAGACTTGGGACTTAAAATATTGGGGGCAGCCAATGTTTGCACTGCAGTAGTGCCTGGCACTTACAGGCTAGATTATGATGTGACACAAGAGGAAGATGGAAGAAGTGAGTGGAGAAAGGAGGGAGAAAGATGAGCTAACAGGAAAGCATTCAAACTGCATAATGTTGTGCCCATATCTCAGCTCACACCTGCAGAGCCAGTGCAAATTGATAAACAGGGGTTTTAGCCTTTTAACCTTAATTTAGATATTTCATGGCATGTGGGCTTTTTAACATGTAGTCCTAGCACATCACACTAATATGATATCTGAAAGGTAACTTTCTAAAGATACTTTTTAATAGGAAAAAAAGATGTGGAGGGGAGTTTTTGTCTTCCCTATTAAGAACTCTGCTGGTTTATAAAATATTACAATTAGAGAATGTAAATGCCATACTTTAGAATTACTTGCACAGGGACCCTTTAGGTGTTGCCATTCCTCACTCAGACAGTAGTAGAAAATATGTGCCCCTTATCCTTATTTGGTAATTTGCTTTTTAAAAGAATCAGAGCTTAGAATTTCACACCTGGTTAATCATTATTTAATTACTTGGTACTAAGTTTCAGAGTGGTAGCTGCGTTACTCTTTAACTGAAAAATCTTAAAAAACAGCGAATAGTCCTGCAGCACCTGAGAGACTAACAAAAAACATAGATGGTATCATGAGCTTTCATAGGCACAACCCACATTTTCAGATGAATGAAGTTAAGGGATCCAGGGTACAAATAAATAGCAGAGAAAGACAGGGAATGTGGAGGCGGAGGGGAAGGGAAAAAATGGAGAAAAAATATTGTCAATTAGAAGCTAAATGATGCTAATAGAGTGGGCTCTTAAGTATTCTAAGTGCCCAGTACTTACTGTTTATGTCATTAGGATGTGAAAAGTAGCAGCCCAGCCAGGTCAAGTTTTTGTTTAAACCTCTAGTCAAGGTGTCAAACTTGTAAATGAAAACCAAGTTCTGCACTTTCTCTCTCCAGTGCTGCTACTGTTGAAGTGGCACATCCTTCAGATTCTAGGTGCACAAGTGCAGTTACCAAATTACCCTATCCCGGGAGACCATCTTGGTTATGACAATCTTGTGGCTAGCTGAGAAGAAGGAGGGCTATTTATGTGGTCCACTCACTAGGTTGCCCCTCACTAGTGTAATAGGTCGCACAACTCTAGTGACTTCCAAAAAGTTACTGTGCAGTAAGGATGATGTAGCCCAACACCCATTTAATTAGCTATGTAAAACAATTTATGTGAACAGTTTTCTCATAATTTAAGTAGGCATGCTTATGAGAGCTTTGGGAATCTCTTCCTACTGAAAGATGATTTCCCTCTATGTATGTCTCTAGTGTACTGTTAACATGGACTCTTAGGGTACGTCCACACAGCAACATTATTTTGAAATAACTAAGTGTTATTTTGAAATAATGTTGAAATACTGTCAAGCTGGAGGATTTCTTACTCCGACTCCTGTAACCCTCATTGTATGAGGCGTAAGAGAAGTCGGAAGAAGAGTGCTCTATTTCGAAATAAGTGCTGTATGGACACTCCTAATTTCGAAATAAGCTACGCAATTGACGTAGTTCAATTTGCATAGCTTATTTTGAGTTAAGTCCTGCTGTGTAGACACACCCTTACTGAGTTTTAGCTGAAATCCCCCCACCACCCACAGTGAAAAACTTTTAACTGAAGTTTGGAGGTAAAAACAGGCCATTCTGCCCCCCCCCCTCCCTCCGGAGGTTGCTTTAAGCCTGGTCTAGCTTAATTGGCTAGTGGTTAAATTATAATAGTAGTTTCCAAACTTCTTCTTTTTTTTTTTGACTCATACAGGGTCAAAATGAACAGGGAAGGGCAAAATTCAGGGACCACTGTCCTTCTCCCTGTCACTGCCACATCCTCCTCTGCCTGCAGAAGGGCACTGGCGACCTGTGGCCGTTCCCTCTACCCTGCCATTGCCATTCTAATTCTGGCCGGGTGGAGCGGAGAGGCCCTGGGGGGAAGGAGAGGGTTGGAGAGTAAGCCTTCCCCATATTCATCCCACAATGGCAGCTTCTCTCCCACAGGCTGAGCCCATCTCCCTGCTCAACCTGGTCCAGGAGGCCACAGTGCCACTTAGATTTGTCCCAGCTGCCTCGTCTTCATAGTGAAGGGAGGGGGCGGGAGAGAGTGGCTGGGCCAAATTTGACTGAGCACTGCTGTGTGACCCCATTTCCTGGGTTGCAACACCTGAAGCAGGGCTGGGCCTTGGCCTAGGGGACAGGAGCACTGCTATGGGGTAAGTGTAGGGAGGTCTGTCTTTTCAATGTCTCTAGGCCTGGGCCTGTGACCTCTTTAGGATCTTGTTGCAACCTGCCATTAGGGAAACACTGGGTTAGAATCCAGGCTCAACTTTCACTTGAGCTGGAACCTGCCCACCTTGTCGCTAGCATGCCTTCGAAATCCCTGATAATGCACCAGCACCTTTCCCACAGTTACTGCTGAACAACTGACGAGTTTTCCTGCAATTGATGCCATTGACTGGGAAAGAATCCTAGAGAATTTCAGCTCAAAGAAGTGTGGAATATGCTGCAGGGGCAAGTTCAGCAATGATGAAGACATGGTTATATGGAGAGGTTTTATTGTGGGGTTGTCACACTGGTTGGTTTGTTACAGGGCTGCTTTTTTCCCTGGGAGCTAAATTCTGGTTTTGGGAGGGGTGAAACACAACTACATAATCTTATGTGATAAACTGATAAAAATCTAGATCACATTTTTATCTTAACCACTATAGCTCAGGTTATTTTTAAATGGTTTTCACATGACTATTTCGAGCAGAAAATAGTGTGCAAATGTATTCCCATCATGTTGCTTTATTTGATATGGTGTACTTAGTTTAAGATTTAAAATATTAAGTAAAATGTTATTCAAAAAAGGTAACAACTCATACACGACCTGTTCAGCTCTCAGTAACATTGGTGGAGGGGTTTTCATGGAAGTCTGGATTGGGTTTACAGACCCTGATCTTTCAAAAGTGTACATATCGTTCCATCCTGATCTGAGGAGTCCCATTTAAATCAGCACGTAAATGTCTGCAGGATCAGAGCCATAGTAGGTAGACTTGGACCCAAAGAGAACCATTTCTGGGTCTGATTATCAGTGATTACATGATCCTTGCTTTGTTTTCCTTCTGCAGCCTGCTGGGTACATTGGTTGCAGTGTTCACATCAATAAGAAATTTTAAGTACGCTGCAACATCTATGTGGGCGGTTTGCTTAAGAGCCAGTTACATGTTTCTGTAGGAACTATGTATGGTACTCTACTGCACCTGGTAACTCTACATATTTTTGAATGGTCTGTGCTCTTTATACCTAAGGCACGAACAAAAGCCTCTGCCAGCACATCGTACATAGAATCAGGCTAGGTTTCTAGCACTGTTGGAAAACTGATTCAACATCTGCTTGCATGGATCTTGATGCTGTAATGTGTTACACCATAAAAGCTGCTGCCGTCTTCATATCCATGATTTTCACATACTGGAATAATAAAAATCTATTTCCGTTCTGAGAGAACTAGAACTACTGGTCCAGGAAATGACTGTTTTTGTAACGTTAACAATAATTTCATCTTAGAAATGTTTTTAATTTCAGTTGTATAAATAAATATAATTATTGTTTCTGTCTGAATCTGTTTTTTTTTAAACAAAGTTTTCAATAGTAGCTCAAATTATTTTTACAAAGGGAAAACAGTCCTAAATTCATGAAGATTTTTTAAACTTTTTTTTAAAGTTCTAGATTTCTAGATTTTTAGTGAAAATAAAGATGCATCTTTTCTGCTTTAAGACTGATACTCACAGTTACTGCAGCTGTCAAATTATTGTGTGTGTGTTTTTTTTTATACAAAATTACATAGCTTTTTTCTACTTTCCTAAGATTTTCCCAGAAACTTAAGTTTTGAGTTTCTTCCTCCTATGATTTTCTCCCCCTCCCTCATTCTTACAGTTCTTATATTGTATCAGTAAGATTGATTGCGGCTCTTGTTTTGTTTTTGAGTTTTTTTATTATTTCTTTTCTCAATGGCTGAAAATATTGTGTGGTTTGTTTCTTTTACCACTTGCATCAAATTAAGAGGCAGAATACTGCTTAGTAACTAAATACCCTCCACTAAACTTTTTTGTATAAACTGTAGTCTCTCTGTGCAAAAAGGTTTACCCATGCAAAGTAAAACATTTTGGCAGCTTGAAGATGTTCAAAAGCTATTTTAAAAGCAACCAGTTTAAAACATAAATTGCATTAAAATCCATGTGAAGGCTAGACTTTAGCTTATATTATGTTTTAAAATGCAGTTTTAAACATCTCTTTTGAAAGACATAGAGGTGATGTTTTTAGCTATGCTAAAATCCAATATTCATTATTATTTTTTTTCTATTTTTTAATAGGTCATCACACAACGAACTAGAAAAACATAGGTGAGTCATGAAAATAAACTGTAATGATCTAGAAAAAGCATTGTCAATGTTAGGATGACCTTGTATAGACAGGGATATGCTGTTTAAATTGTGTTCTGAATGAAACATCTACACTTACAGCTGATTAATACTGTACATATAGAAGCATAATTTAAATATGAATAATTTCTCTAGTTGTTAACTCTTAGGTTTTATTAGTAATAAATACAATAGAAATTGAGATGTCATGATTAAGATGTATGGAGAATCTTAATTGGGGCTAGAGAATGAGCAGAATTACTTTACTATTTAACATTATTTAAAATAAACTTATGTATTACAGAGGGAGGATTTAGTCTTGCAACTCTTACCTTATATAAACTCATGCATCGAGAGGATTCTGCTCGTGCCTGGACACCAGGGCAGGAAGTGTTTGCTACGCTTTGAAAAACTATTATTTATTAATTAAAGAGATTTGCAAAATCTTTAGGCCTATAATTGTAATAGCTTCTTCATGCTTATGGTAACAGCAGCACATGCAAAATTGTGTATCATTTTGAGGTCTGGACTTTTTTTTTTAAAGAGGTTAGGCATTCTAAGGCATTTACTTCAGCTGAAGGCAAAGTATGCAAACAAACTATGGCAATATAGAATAGGTGGCAAATATGGCTTGTGAGATTGTGCACACAAATCTGGTGCATGCCTCACACTAACAAGGGTGTGAATGATAGTTAGACTCTTAGGATGCATCTACATATCACAGTTATTTTAAAATAAATGATAGTTCAAAATAAAAATGCGAGCATCTACACAGCAATTCTGTTATTTTTTAAATACATTCAAAATAACAGATGGCTTATTCCAACTTCTGTAAACCTCTATCCATGAGGAATAGTGCCTATTCTTAAATAGCTATTTTGAAATAGCTGTAGTATGGATGCTCTACTGCTGCTATTTCAAAATATCTCCTCCCCAGGGCCATTCAAACTAATTACCTCCCTCCCCCAATTGCCTCCTGAGGCTGTAAATCGAGGTAGCACGTCCACGTTAGGGAAGCCTGCCTCGGACTAATTTTGAGGCTTCCCTGTAGTGTAGACACGCTATTTCAAAATAAGCTATTCCAGAGTATTTCTTCCGGAATAGCTTATTTCTAGATAAGTGTGCAGTGTAGATGTACCCTCACTGTATTGCATCCAAAAGGAAGGGTGATATTTGTAACTCTGACATTTTCTTCCTGATCTATCTCAAAATAGTATGAAGTAACTTAATCACAATTTTGTATTCAAGTTCATGTCACCATGCTTTCACTTCTTGTTTCATCCTCCTTGTCCTTGATGTTCCATTAAGTCTCCTAGAACTCTTCCCTATTGTGTCACTATCAATCTGTCCATGAGTATCTGGTTCCCCCATTCCTCTTTTATTATCTCAGGAGATAGTTTCCTGTATCTCCTTCTGCTTTACTCCTGAGCACATTTAAGCAGCACGATGTGGGGGAGGCATTAGCACTTCATGCAGGTGCAGGGGAGGAGTGGTTTTTTTTATATAATATATAATCACATTTCAGTTTCTCATTTGAGTTCTGCAATGCGTCTTTTTACATGCATGTTAATATTACTTGCCACCATGGTATTTTCTCTCAGCAGTTTACTTACTTTCATATTGGAATTTGAAGATATAGCTTCTAATTGCATTCAATTAGCAATATTTAATTGTAATTATATACTGTAAGCCCTAAAGTTACACTGTTTTTCAGCTACTCTTAATCCAGTTTGCAAACATGAATGTGTAAAATTAAGAACAAAAGAATGGCCTTACTGGGTCAGACCAATGGTCCATGCAGCCCAGTAACCTTCTCACAGTGAGTAAAGCCAGATGCTTCTTGCAGTTGGAGTTAGGGACACCCAGAGCATGAGACTGAATGTCTGACTATCTTGGCTAATAGCAATTATCCTCCATGAATTTATCTAACTCTTTTTTGTTCCCAGTTATACTTTGGCCTTCACATCATCTCCATGGCAACAGGTTCTGTGGATTGACTCTGCATAATGTGAAAAAGTACTTCCTTATATTTGTTTTAAACCTGCTGCCTTCATAATTTTATCAGGAGACCCCTAGTTCTTGTGTTATGTGAAGGGATAAAATAATCTTTTCCTGTTCATTTTCTTCACACTGTTTTATAGATTTCTACCATATCCCAGTCACCTCTTTTCTAAGATGAACAATTTCAGTCTTGTTAATCTATTTTCATGTAAAAGGAGTTCTGTCCCCTTAATCATTTATCTTGCCCTTCTTAGTATATTTTCCATTCTAATGTATAGTTTTTGAGATGGGGCAACCAGAACTGCACACAGTATTCAGAGTGTGGGCATCCCATGATTTATGTACTGGTATTATGTTTTCTGTCTTATCATCTAACCCTTTTCTAATAGTTCCTAACATTCTGTTGGCTCTTTTGTCTGCCTCTGCACACTGAGTGGATGTTTTCAAGGAACTAAACATGATCCCTAAGATCACTTTCTTGAGCAGGAATTATGACCCAATAGTTTTGTATATATAAATTGCTTTATTTTCCAGCATACATTGCTTTGCATTCATCAACAATGAATTTCATCTCCCATTTTGTCACCTGTCATATAGTTTAATGAGATCCCTTTGTAACTCTTCACAATCAGCTTTGGAGTTAACTATCTTGAGTAATTTTTGGATCATCTGCACATTTTGCCATCTCACAGTTCATCCTCTTTTCCAGAGCTCTTTAGGTAACTAAACTCACTTAGTCCTTAAATTCTCAGGATAAAAGTTATCTTCTGCCTATGTTCCTGCACCTGGCCTTGCGCACTGCTGCCTTGCTCAAGGTGATTAAGTGCCTTTCTGCCACCTAAGCCCTACAGCAATTCATGAATGGGGATAGGCATGCTTAAAGCCTGCCTACCATACTGGGTCCCATTCAGAATTTGGATGGAGAAGGAAGAGGTGGTGCTCCCCTTAAAACTTGTAGTCCAGGGTATGTCTACATTACCCTCCTAGTTCGAACTAGGAGGGTAATGTAGACATACCCTGGACTACAAGTTTTAAGGGGAGCACCACCTCTTCCTTCTCCATCCAAATTCTGAATGGGACCCAGTATGGTAGGCAGGCTTTAAGCATGCCTATCCCCATTCATGAATTGCTGTAGGGCTTAGGTGGCAGAAAGGCACTTAATCACCTTGAGCAAGGCAGCAGTGCGCAAGGCCAGGTGCAGGAACATAGGCAGAAGATAACTTTTATCCTGAGAATTTAAGGACTAAGTGAGTTTAGTTACCTAAAGAGCTCTGGAAAAGAGGATGAACTGTGAGATGGCAAAATGTGCAGATGATCCAAAAATTACTCAAGATAGTTAACTCCAAAGCTGATTGTGAAGAGTTACAAAGGGATCTCATTAAACTATATGACAGGTGACAAAATGGGAGATGAAATTCATTGTTGATGAATGCAAAGCAATGTATGCTGGAAAATAAAGCAATTTATATATACAAAACTATTGGGTCATAATTCCTGCTCAAGAAAGTGATCTTAGGGTTAGGTCATGCCCTGGGATGTGGGTGACATCTCTTTTTATCCACAGTCACTGGGACAGAGTCACATATTAAACTCTGTAGCCCAGTGATTATGGCACCTACCTGAGTGATGGGAGAGCCAGGATGCCCTGTCCACAGGGCCGGCTCTAGGTTTTTTGCCACCCCAAGCAAAACTTTTTTTGGCTGCCCCTCCCCCCCTTTTGTCCAGGGAGGGTGCATGCACAAATGCAGTTTGTGCAGCTTCCTGTGGGGTGGGGCATGCACTTCAGGGGGAGCCCAAACCCGGGGGCATTTTCATCTCCTAAGACAGCGCCAGGGACTCCCTACGGAAGGACAATGGGAGGGCAGGTTCATCCACAGCAAGGCAGTTAAAGACTTCCAAAGCATGCAGCTCTTCACATCACCTAGTGTTGGTGTCCAGGTCCCACTCCTCAGTCTTCAAAGGGATTTTATTATTAGAAGCCTTATAATCACTCAGACTCCAACCCCAACACATAAGCTGTCTAACTCTTGGTGTCCATGGACAAGAATCAGTCTCACTATACAATGAGACAGTTCAAAGGGATTAAGAGAACTTTTGTTTCAATTCCCCAGCTCAACTGTCCAGAACAAGACAGGCACCAGACAACAAAACCCCACTAGCTTAGGACCTATTCCATGAGCGCAGCCCTGTGCTTTCTCCTTCAGGGACGGACCAAACAGTCTCTGAAGCAGGGTGGATTGATTTAAATAGCTTTGATTTAAATCTCTAATTTTATCATGATTTTCAGCAAGCAGAAAACCTAGATTTAAATGAGCAATTAATCATTTAAATTATACTTTTAAAATATTTTCCTAAAGGATGGTTGAGTCTTAATGATTAGCAACCTTTAAAACATGTTGATTTACAACTAAATATAACCTTCTTGCCAAATTTGGTGCTTCTGTTTACTTACCAGGAGAAGACACTCAGTACAGCTACCAACTAAATAAATGCCCAAATAATTGTGTAACTTACATTTAATCAGATTCTTAATTTTTACATTTTTATTCTATTACAAAATGTTGTGTAATAGGAACACTTAAGAGAGAGGTTTTACCCCATTTATTATTTGCTAAGTGGTGGCTACTTTTTTTAAAACATATGATTTGCATCTACTTCTGTCTGGACGGAAATTCTATTTAAAATAAACAAAACCAGCATTTAATTTTTGTATGAAATAAAACTACCTTAAATGTGAAGGACACAAAACAAAAAAGTATCCAAACACATTTTGCATCTAAAATTCATGTATTAAACAAAGGAAATATCCATAGTGAATTTAACAGTTCGAATCTAGTCATCATGTTCTAGTCAAGATGTTAGAGTGCTCTCATAACCAGTATTTTACTGAGAGAAGAGGAAAACAAGTTTTTCTGCTTCCTCAACTCTCAGTTTTTTGCAACGGTGAATGAACTAATTATTGAATTGAACTAGCCAAATAA